ACTCATAAGCATCACATGAGAAAACATGTGTAAAGCATTCAGACTAGTCCCTGGCACATAAAAAGTGCTTAACAAATGTTACTAACTTTTCATCATTTGCATTCTTTGAAAAGCCAAGCACAGGGCCTTGTGTACACTGAGTGCTCCATAAATATCATGGTTGGGTAAAATAAATTGCTGAATCACTACCTTGTCTGTTTGACTTCTTCTCACATTGGATCCAACCAGGAAATTATTAATTATTCTGACTTCCCATGCAATGATATCAACAAAGTAATTACTCTTTCTGTCTTTTATAAAAAATTAAAATGATCTTTAATATTTACATCTAGTTTCCTAGATCTATTACATGTGTAAGAAGCCATTTGTCTAAATTGGTAGCACACTAGCATTTTCTAGGTTATGGGCTTTAATATATATTGCAAAATGATGCAGTAGAATCCATTTAAGATTTTAAGACATAATTTTGCTCTAGGGAAAATATTTTGCCCGTTCCTCAGAGGACTTAAAATGGCTAAATTTTCAAGAAAGGATCACAGTTTTTATTACCCTTGTTGCTCTAGGAGCCACATTTTGGAGAGTTTATCTTTGCCTTTGTCTGGCTATTCTCTATCCCCATTCTCGGACACTCAAGTCCCCTAAACTTCCCCACCGAAATGGCCCTCTGAGTGCACTAACTGGGCAGCAACCTAGTTTTAAACCTCTTTCACATCCTCTGTATTTTCCTGTGTTCCAGGCCCTCAGGACTTTGTCTGCCAGCTGACCTGATAAACCAAGTTAAAAAATGAACATATGCTAATGATTTGTGAGAATTAACAACAGCTCCTTCCTGGATAATATTTCATTTTATTAGAGTCTACTAGATAGGATTCCTTTACTCAAAGGAATGGTTTTAATAGTGAAAGTTTCAGATCCTATGTTTGCCAAAGAATAAATGCTTTGAACCTGGGAATGTTCTGCCCACCGTCAAATCACTGTGTAGACTGCTGCCTACAATGCACTTGCCCTTGATCACAAAAGCATTTTCTTTGCTTCAGCTGCCAGAGATTTTCCCCTTCTACATGCTCTCTTCCTTCTCCTGAAATTCACTAGAAAGTTTCAGATAAGGCGGAAACGTGATTTACTTAAACCTTTGTCTTGTTACTGCGTATACTCTTGGTTGGGCAGATCAAAGGAGAATCACAAATAAAAATATAAAATACCTAGTCTTCAATACAGTCTCCGCAAAGAGAACCTACAAAAATCACTTGAGGCATCAAGGATGATGGGCCACTGTCTTATCAGTTAAGTCAATACACTGGAAAAATACATCAGAAAATGGACTATTTGATTAACAAGAACTGCTGAGAACCTAATCATTGATTAGTTTAAGTCTTCAAAATATGTATTGTGTAAAATGCATTTTGTAATGTATATTTGTGCATAGAGGGTGACAGAGTGGGGAGGCCGGGGAAAGACAGTGAGACAGAGAGAGAAAAAGAGATTTTGGAAGAGGAAGAAAGAAAACTGAAAATAATCCCACTGCACTTAATGAGGCCCCACTGGACTAGTCCTGAATCCAAATCCAAATCTCAAAGGCAGACGCTGAAAGCTCACATTCTCAGAATCTAGTCCATCCCAGTGGGTCAAAAAACACCTGACATTCATCTCCACTAAATCTCAGCTGTATCTCTAGGGAACAGAAAGCCCTTCCTTTAAAGAGAAAAGTGGAAACAGCTAGTATAGAAGTCCACTGGTATTGTTAGCCACAGTTACTACCGAGAATTAGAGCCAAAGTGTTAGACAGCTAAGGGAGCCATAAGTGATGTCAGATAGGATTCTGGAACCCAGAGAAAGTCAGGGAGAACGTTTGCCACAAGAGGGAGCAGTAGAATTTGGTCAGATGGGAGACCATTTGGTAGGGGTTATGATGAGGGGTCCAACTAAAGTATGGGAAGTCACGATGAAGGATTTAACTAGAAGTATAGATAATATTTGGAAAGTATTTTAGCAAAACACATTTATCATTGGAGGCAAAAACAAAAAGATAAAGGGACCAGGAAGAGTAGAGAGATAATAGCATATGGATTCCTAAATTCTTAGCAAATATAAGGTGACAATTTAATATTTACTTGAAAGCAACATATGCACATACTACAGAAATATAAAACATGCAACATATGTGCTTTAACGGCCTCTTTTAGAGGGTGCATTTCTTTTTCCTGATTTAATTTACATTTCAGTTTGAATTTTGTTTATTTCCATGTTTTTAGGGCAGATTCCTTCTTACTTGTATACTGTTCTCCCTCTTCCTAAAGGCATCACGAAGAAAACACTCACAGAATTGCAATATAATAAAACAGACATGAATGTCCCAAAATGCACTTACTTTGAGACAACCACATCTATGAGCTAAATGAATGCTTTGACTTGCTTTTTAAAGGGGAATTGCAGCTTCCTTGGATCTGCAGAGCTTTTCTCATCATTTATTTTGTCAAAGAAATAGATTGAATACTAAGAGGAAAGGAATCATGCGTTTATTTTGCAAGTAAATAAAAGTCTATTTTTGCCTAGCAAAAGCATGTTAAACATAGCTTTTTAACAAATGCTGAAGTTCTCTTGGAATACATGTTATTTTCTTTAAAACATAATAAGCTTAATAGAGCAATTTGCCTAATTCCCACAAATAGTCCTATAGGTGTTACTGACTATACCTCACCTTCCTTTTGTAATTTTATTGGGAGTCAAAGCACTGTTACTGCCATGCTCTTTTCTTCCCCTGGTCAACAAAAGGGTTATCTAGTTTTTAACCTGAAACATTACAGTAGAAACCATTATATAATAATAAAGTAAACAGATAGGTAAATAAATAGAAAGTACGGCCTTCATGGTATTTTAGTTCATTACTCTCCTCTTTCGCCCTGTTAAGCTTTCAAGACAGAGTAGATTAAGTCTGATCATCAGGAACACTCTTACATCCCTTGCAGCCTGATACAGATCAACAATACATAATGGTTTATCTCTGCCCAGTTTTTTTTGTTGCTGTTTTTCTAGGAATTAATCATTCCATTTTTTAAAAAGACAACAGCCATTTTAAGGGGGAAAAAAATCAAGGCTCCTTTTATAGCAGGTGTAAGAAATCTTAAAGAGGCCTGAGATCCAAATGGAATTCTTCAAGCAGGCAGAATTTGTCAAATGAAAACCATCTAAGAGCACACATCTTGCTTCTTGAAGAAATAAGTGGGTCCTCCCCCACCTTCTCACTCACAAGGCCCCAAAGATGGAGCTAGTTTTCCCTTCCTTCCTCCTGCTTTCACACCCGCCTAACCTCCCAATTAAGCAAGTTTAGCGAACCCAGAGAGCTCAATCCAAGTAACACAGGATTTGAAAGAGGAACCTGAAACCAATCATCCCTCTTCCGGCTTTGTCTTCTCATTTGAAATGAATGAAACATCTTCCTTTTTTTCTGACTAGCTGCAGGAGTAGCTCTGAGAGAGAAAGAGAAACCGTGTGTGTGTCCGTGTGTGTGCGTGTGTGTGTGTGATGGTGGTGACATGGGAAATAGAGGTATACTTTCAGAATTCTCTCCCGGTGACTCCCTCGTTCCCTTGGGAAAGCTTCGCACTAGTCTCGGATTGTGCATGTTCAACTGCTCCTATCTGGAGATACTCCAGCAATGCCTTTAACCAGATCTGATCAGAAATCTCCACCTACTCAGCTAGAGGCTCCTCCATGATCAGGACGCTTGTACTGTCTTCACCACATCTGTCATTTTTAAAAAAGCTTCTTCCACTACACCTCCCACCGATATCCTTTTTTCTCTTTTTAGTCTTTACACCTCCAGCAGGACAAAGTTTGTACTGTTATATTCACAACCACTAGTAGCTGACTAGCGGGAGATACACAGAGCGCCTTCAGAGGAGCCGGGTTCAGGGGCTTTAAAAGGATAGCTAGTGCAAAGCATGACTTTCCAGTGAGTGCATACAACATGCACATTGCTCTCTTCTAAAAATGCTTTGTTAAATTTCATCACCCTTGCTCTCAACTCAACCACTGCCACTCTGGAGAGGGAAATACGAATTGCCAGCCCAAGTCATTCATCAAACAGCAACAGAATCCACGGGGTGGTTGGGGGGGCGGGGGGGTGATGCAGGAGGTGGTTTTAAAGAATCAAGGATGCACACATACTATATTTTCAAGAGCATCGCCTGGGCGGATTTGCTTTCTTTGGCCGGCTGTCCAGTTATAAGACCGCCCTCTTCTTCATTAAGGAGGAGCCAAAAAGGATATCTTCACATCTCAGAACACAGACCATTTCCCCCAAGAGCCAGAAAAGCTCCAGAGGCAGAGAATGCAGCTGCAAAGTTCACTTCCAATCTCTTGGGGAAAGATGCCTGTGTGTGCAGAATCCCCGAAGCACACCAAGGCATAGTGCCCAGAGACTTGGACCCTGCAGCCCACTCCCCGCTACCCCCTACATTTCTTCCTCGTCTGTCTCTGTTCCGCCACACCTCCCTCCTCTCCGCAGTCCGTGGTGAATGAGCACCCTACGCCCGCTGGAAAAGAGGGGGCTCGGAATTGTGGCCTTGGGGAAAGACCCCAGGGATTACCGGGAGGAGAGATGGCCGTGGAGAAGAGTCCAGTGGGTGGGGACGGCTGGATCCCCAGCAGCGCTGCGTTCAGGGTGGACTTAGCTCTTCGCGCCCTGAATCCTCAGAGCCCAGAGCGGTGCAGGGTGCAGCATCTCTCCTTAGCATTCCTTTCTTCCTCCGGCAGCCTGCACTGCCAGGCAGGCACCCTCACGCCCAGACGCACCAGCTCGAGCAATTTCACTCTGAGAAGCGCGGACACCCAGAAAAATGTGCAGGCGCACTCACACCACATCTCTCTCTCACACACACACAATTTAGAAGCCGCTCGTTTGCCAAAGCAGAGGGCAGTGTAGCCTTATGAGCAGCAAATGGAAAATAGTTCTGGGTCTCGGACCAAATGCCTTCTGCCTGCCCATCCTAAGATCCTACCTGGTTTGGCGAGTGTGAATGGATTCTTCTCCGTTCCTCCACACTAGTAGGAAACACGGCGCACTCCCTCCTTTTAAGCAGCTCTGGATCAGGAAGAGGTCGCTCCCATCTTCTGTGGGAAGCACAAAGCAGGCGGCGGCGGCGGCGGGCTGACTCCCGTGCAGCGCCGGCGCGGTCGGGAGCGGCGGCGGCGGACAGCGGTGCGCGCGGGCGGGAGGCAGGCGCGGAGGCCGGGAGGCTGGGAGGGCCGGGGCCCGGGCGGCGCGCGCGCTCCCCCTCCTCCCTCCCTCCCTCCCGCGCACACTCGCCCGCCCGCAGCCTCGCACTCGCTCACACGCGCGCTCGGCCCCGCGGCCGCCGGACACCCCGGGGCCCCCTGCGCGCCCCTCCGGGCTCCCGGGGCGATCGCGTCGGGGCAGAGCCGGCGCGTTTTTGGAGCACCGAGCGTGTGGGGAGCCCTTCGAGCCTCCCAGCCTCTGCAGCTGAGCAGCTTTTTCGATTTCCTGTCGGCACTCGGCCCCGCAGTGCGTTCTGGCGGCGCGCTAGCGCTGTCTCCCGCAGCCAGCCCATCGATGACACGCGCACACAGGCGCTGTAACTTTTCTTTGGAACCCTCTTTGCCTCATCTGCGGACAGAACCCTGACCCCCAACTCGTCTACCCGTTTCCCACTTCTGACTTTGTTAATCCAGCTATCTTTCTTCCCCCACTTCCTGCCCCTCTGCTAAAGGAAGCTTTCTTTAGCAAAAGGATTTGGCATATTTCAATGATTTTTTAATCCTCACCCTGTGTTTTTCCTACGTATCAAATATGCACAACTCTACATTGGCTACTAAATGCTGACACAAGCAAACAGGGATACTGGGGGGAGGGTGTTCCCCAGCCAAGAACAGGGAAAGATTCTCCGTGTTGGTATTTCCCTCAAAGATGCGGCTCACCTGGGAATAAAGATCCAGAGGCTGTTTCCTGTGAAAGCTATGCTGCTTTTAAACTACAGTGAGGAGTAAAAGCCGAGGCTTGAGTTAGGAAAGACCTAATGCAGCAATCGACGAACCATTCATTGCCCTTTCCAAGAGAAGCATTATCATTGCCAATACATCACTTCCCCATAATTAATAAAGGAGCACTGCACCAGGCTTTTACACTCTTGACAGTTCATTCATTCTTACAAATCCTTAATGACTTCACGTGGCGAAAGGCTAGACCTAATGTCGCGTAGACGGGCTCCCAAACCTGGCCGTGCATCAGACACACTTGGGGATGAAGTCAGACGCTATAGAATCTGAGGCAGAAGCTGATGCAGACTCTCCTGCTGTAGGTCTCAAATGGGGCTCCAAGTTTGTATGTTTAAAACACCAGTTGCTATTGGCCACCGGTGTCGTTTGCCAAGGTGTGGGGGGTCAGGAGCAGCTACTTGGGGAAGGTGAAAGAAGGAGGGACCTACAGAGCACAAGGCAGAAAGTTTCTTTAGTGGAGACGTCCCCCAGTACTTACAGTGCAACCGGGGTAGTCACCACAAATGAGAGTTTCTGACTCCAGGAACCTCAGTTTGTGTCTGCAGCAAAGAGTGGCTGAATCTAAGAAAGAGCCTCTTCCGCCTCTACGCCAGTGGCTCTCACTCCTCCACGCACCTCAGACTCTTCTGGCCAGTTTTTAAACATCCCTGTGCCTAGGCCACACCCTCAAACTGATTAACTGACTCTCCGCAGGTGGGCCCCAGGCATCATTAATTTGTTTTTAAGATGCCTGGTTGACTGCTAGGTGCAATGAAGATTGAGAACCACTGCTCTAGGCCAGTAATCTTCAAACATGAATGTGAATATGAAGCAATAGGGATTGCAGTTTATTTTTCAATAGGCCTGGGGTAGGCCTGGGGTCTGCATTTGTAGCAAGTGTTCAAGTGATGCTGATGCTGTCTGAATGAGGACCTCACTAATTAGTTGGGTCTGTTGCCAGCTGTCATGGAACCTGGCTTCCTAGAGGATAAGCCAAGCTGTTTCATGCCTTATAAATTTGCAGGAATCACTCTTCCTTAAGAACATTTTTCTTTCCTTGCTATAAGTTAAGTTTTCTTGGAAGCTCCTCCCCACATAAACTTTCGGATAGACTGCACTGACCAGTGGGTTTAAACAGAATGACATGTGGGGAGAGATGGAAGGTCACCGTCTCTTTTAGAATATATCTTCTGCCAAAATTACATAGAGTCCCTGAATTTAAGGGAGTAACAGAAGCAGATATTTGGCTCATACTCAATGAAAGGGGCTTGGAGAGAAAAGTGGCTGCCTTCTACATGACACTAAGGAAGGTACATAACTAAAGACTCCACTCATAAGAAATAGCACACAGCTAAATGGAGGAAGTGAGAGAACGTTAAATGAAAATGTGAGCAGGCCATATCTCATTGGAATAGATTTCGTGGAGAGCGTAGCCTCTTATTGCTATTATGAGTCACTCAGTGAAAGCTGAGATTTTCTTGAAATTGTAGGCATGTTTGTGATACGGAGTGACAAGAGTCCTGTTCTTTAAATGTCTATATTCAAGTGATCCCCAAAGTCTGTCTTTTGACTTTTTTTTTTTTCTTTGACCATTGAAACTGCAAGGCTGCATTTTGGCCCTCTCGATTCTTCCTTTTTTTCCAATCGAAACTGCTTTTAGACTGATTTGGATTCTTGGGAAAAAAACAACAACATTAAATGGTCTTCTCTTTACCTAGAACTATTGAGAAGCAGCCTGATGACTAGAGAGTTGGCATCCTTTTTGGTTCAGTCAGTTTCTGAGCCCTTACTTTTCTTTGCCTTTCATTCCTCATTAAAGGCATTTTTATAATGGTTCCAGGGCCCCAAGGCAAATTAAACCTTTCCTCCCTCCTTAATGTCATACACGAGTGGGTTTTTATTGCAGGAATTATCAAAGGCTACATCACAGGCACAAGGCTGAGGAAGACTATGGCTCTAAGAAAGGAAAAAGTGAGGCTGCTGCAGTCAATGGCTTTGGAAAGAAGAAATGTATAGAGGAAGGTGGTAATTTATATTCCAATAGCAGTAGTGTTTTTTAATCGCAGACTTCCATGTTGATTGCCATTCTTTCCTCTGGACTTGGAATTAAGTCACCAGTCTCCACTGGCACAATCATTCAGGGGACTCCACAAGGATATCACTAAGATTTAATATATTCTAAAGATGGTTCTGATGTTCACAAACTATTTCCTAGGAAACCTTCAGGGAATCAGTTAGCATACTCATTTTCAGACCAAGTGCAAATATTGTGAATTAGGCCCTAACTTTTTTCCTATAGAAAAATTAGACATGTGATCAGGTTACCAATATTTTTAAAAATAATATTTTAATAAAACATTCAATAATTTTTCATCATAGGGAAAACAAGCACAATACTCTATTGAAATTCCTTTCATTTTTACTTTGAATTACATAAATCAGAGGTACCTCTATTGTCTCTCCCATTGCTTGGGGTTCTGAAGGTTGCTAATATAGTCTTAGTCATCCCTGACTTCATTTCTTACTCTGCCAGTCTTCACCAATCACCCATCTGCTCGTTCATAGGCTCAGTTTCATACTGGTTTCTACATAAGACAATTTTATTATATAATAGCGCCCCTAGCCTGGCTAGTGAGTGGAGCTTAGAATTAGTCATTTTTCCATATCTAAGAACCTCAGGTGGACCATTGAGTTCCCAGTTTTGTTTGTTAGGTTTTCTTTGCTGATGAGTAGACTGAGGGTTCTTTGCTTTGGGGATGACCTTGAGAACTCTTTGTTGATTTCTAAGTACACTTCTTCCTCTTCCCTGGAGACTTGTTCCTGCAGTTAAACTTTTACTTCTCTGTTTTGTTTTGACCAATTGAACACCACTCTTGTATCTCACCCAATAGTTAGCCCTGCTACTGCGCAACAGTCCACAGACTGGGGGCAGCCTTCCTGGCAGACTCAGTCACAGCCTTCCTCCTCTCTACATTACCGTGGGATCAGCCACTTCCTCTGAGTCGCCAATGAATTTATCACAGTCTTTGGACATCAGAGGCCTGCAGTTCTTCATTTGAGCAACTGATATGCAAGAATTGGACTTGTACAAAATCCTGACACTTCTGCTTTCCATTTCTGCCCCTTATTAAATTAAGGAAATATCCAGTCTCTATCCCACAACTTTACCACTGGTAACTCAATGGCAGAATCATTATCTAGAGCTATTAATTAGTGGGTCAAAAAAGAATAGCAGATTGGTTAAGAGCCAAGGCTGTAGAGTCAGAATATCTGTGTTGGATTCTCAGATCCAGCTGTGTGATCTTGGGGAAGTTTCTTAACTTCTTAAATCTCAGTATCTTCAAGGCGTTATGGGAAGGATAAAATGCATATCAGATGCTTGGCATAGTTCCTGATCATAGTAATTTGGTGAGGAAATGATATTGCTGTTATTATCATTGGTAAAGTTTCATAAACATGGTATCAGTGTAAATTTTAAAATTTCTATATAATTAGATTCTACATAATCAGGTCATCCCATTATTGAAATTGATTATGCTATTGTTTTTATTATACAGAGTTCTATGCAATGAATAATATAGAAAAATATACATATCTACACCAGGAGAGTACTTTTCCCCTCTGTAAGGAAAAAAGCTGCTTGTGCCCTTTCTGATTTTGTAAGTTCAGAGTGTGGTTAGTGATTGATTAAAAGGGGGAATGAATTCTTCTCTCCTTCACAATATTTCTTTTCCTTTATGTCTAGGTATCAATTTGATCTTATCTCTATTATATCTCTATTATAAAAAAGGGTAGAATTTCAAAGACAGCCTTTTAGACAAATTCTGCTACAACTAAAATTTTGGTTGTCACATTGTTAATTTTATTAACCTGGAACTTTTTCTGTAGGGCATAAACTTCTTCACTAAGTTTACACAACAAACTTTCCTCAACATTGATTCAAGGACTCTCCATCAAATAGGGAGTCAAGATAAGTTCCCTGGGGTGCTTTGTACCAGGCAGTTGTTCCCTACAATCCAGTTCAGAAGCAATGTCCCTGCGAGATTACACTTCAGCATTTTCTATAAATCTCCTTTCCAAGGCACCTGTTATGATATACAGCTCCCTTGCTGTATCTTCAATTGCTGGTCACTGATTAGACTCTTCTGAGAGCTACCAATGTTTTAGTGGTTACCACAACATCCAGACAGTAGCCCTTGAAGATGAAACCTAAGGGGAAAATAGACTAAACTTATGGGTGTTGTAATCCATGATTTCAATGATGCTGATTCTGCTTCTACTGGAAGTGTCTGAAAATAATGAAACTGTCTGCCTCATCCCTTTAAAAATTCAGACTCATACAGTGTGACCTAAAGAATCCTTAGTAATCACAAAAAATTATGTTCAGAAACTGCATTCTATTTTCCCATTCTTTAAAAAATATTAACCAGTTACACAAAAGTCATCTTTGGGCTTGTTTCAGCATTTCTAAGAGCATCTTTATCAAAATAAAGGAAAAATTGTTTGTGTAGACATTGAAATTCTTTGCCATCTCCAATTTAATTTTTATGTAAGAAATCCTTCTGAACTAGTTGGTGCAGCTATGATTACTCTCATTTTACAGACTGAGAAAGAAAGTATGAAAAGATTTGCCAAATCCTGGCTACATACATGTGTCATCAGGTTGTTTAAAAAATTACTGAAAGCTGGGT